TATATATGTGACCGTGTCTCCAGTTTTTAGCAGAACATTGCTCACTAAGTAGCATTGTGATAGGGGAAAACATGGCATCAGAACTAAGTGAAAGTGTCAGAAGTCAGATTGTTATTCTAAGCAAAGAGCAGCTTTCTCAGAGTCAAAACGTGGCCAGACTGAATGTTTCTAAGGGAACTGAACCGGGTGTATCCAAAGCACAGTCAGGCTGACCAGAAGTGACCCCATCATCTGAAGATCAATGCATCATGTTAACTGAGCGATAGGAAACAATTACAGCACAAAAACAGACTTTACTAAATACAGAACACAAGGCACAGATCTGCAAAAGTCCTTTGGAAAAAAGGGTGTCTAGTCGTTGTCTCGAACGATGTCCCTAAACCACCTCTCAGGAGGGGAAACAAGGACAAACGCTTGGGGTGGGCTAAGACAGAGCTGCATTTCACAGTGGATGAGCGGATAGAGATTAGTGGGTGTATGTAAGGAGGCCAACAGGAGAGAGAATATTACCGCAGTGGATCAAACCCACAGTGAAATATGGTGCCGGGAATATTCAAGTCTGGAGCAGTTTGGACACCTGCAGCGAACTGACTCCACCCAAGTCCATTCTTCAGGGACATGCTCCATCCTCTGGTGTTAGGGAGATTATTTCATCCTATAAGCTTTAGACTAAAGACTTAAGAAGACCGCAGTGGTTGAGGTCAATCATGGGAGCACTGAAAGACTTAGAAACATGACAAAAACTCTTAGTACATCGTCAACAAAAATCAACATTTGATGCAAATGTGAAAAATATTTCCCTCTCCTGCTTCTAATAGCTGAAGAAAAACCCCAGGATGACAGCCCATGGCCCAACTGCTGAATGTTCTCCTAACTGCTTCCCTCAGTTGTGTGTCCTCATGGAACAACAGACAGAGTGAATAATTGTGTTTTCCCCTCCTCCGTCTCTGCCAGGGAGCAACAACCCATTAAAATGTGTCCATTACATTCCTTCATCGTGTCTTTCAACTCACCTGTCTTGGGACAAAGTACCGCAAGGCAGATGAAATTAAGTAAACACTGAGAGAACTGTTTTTCAGGACAGCATATTCATTTTGAGGGTGCAGCGCAGCACAGCGAATCTCCAAACACACACACACACACACACACACACTAGTGCAAAGAATTTTTAATAAAGCTTTGAGAGCAATGTGCAGAGCTGGTGGTTTAGAGTGGTTTATGTCCTCTGTCTGCCCTCTCTCTGGGAACAAACAGCACATCACATTTACTCAGGTTGCTCCCGTTTGTTAGCACCCAACATGCAGGACATGCGGGAGTGTGGCTGCCAGTTTTACGCCACGGCCTGGGCGGGAAAATGAAAGCTATAAGTACCGGCGATAGACACTTCATTAATACCAGTGACAATGTTGTTTGATAGAATGTCGATAGTATCAATGAAATGCATTAGATGCAAACTGCCGGGAAAGCAACAAAATAAAAATTCAAAGATCAACTGCATGAAGAATCCCAAGCTGTGCTTCCTCTGGAGCTCACAATAAGTAATCCTGTACCTTGATAGTATAGCAGTGTAAAAAATAAAAGGAAGGGGAAAAAAATGGAATTAACATGTGCAACATTCTTCCAATGGCCCACTGGTGTTACCAATACTGGCAAAAAAAAAAATGTCTGTGCATGCTACTGATATGTTAATTCTTACATTTTTAATTTGTTCTGCTCTACGGTATAAACACAGCCTGCAGTTCAGCTGAATAGTCCCTAAAGTTGTTGGTCGCAACTGAGTCAATTATGACTTCATGGTTGAACTGAGGAGCACAGACTTTAACTGCTTTTGTTTTTTTTAAAGAATGAGGCGATTATTATAAAATATTGCAATTTTAAGTTTGGATTTGGTTAATTATCTGGACTGAACCACATGTTCAATGATTAGTTCAACGACCAACAAGAAGTTAAAAATCTACTTATAGATATTATTCTGTCTGGTTTGATAGGTTCTTTCTGATAAATAGTGTAACATCTCTGACTTTTCTTAAAAATAACATGTCTTTCAAACCCATCGGCAGGTTTTGGAGTTCAGAGTGTTGATGTGCATAGAGTTGGGATGATTCCTTAGTCCTTATTTATTTTTATTTATGTGTGTGAATATATTTATTTGTGTCTTTTATTGTTGTGTCAACATTTTATTACTCATGTAACTTGATAAATAGGCTAAAGCCATTAATTGAAAATGACACCATCTTTTTCTTGGCTTTTATTAAACAAATGCCATTAAATTTACAGATATTGAGTAAAATGAAATGTTTTATTTTAATACATTTTTCAGCTGTTTCCCTCAGCCCTATTTACACCTCTTCTACTGTGCTTTCATTTAGCTGGCTGCATAAGTCAGCAAATGAAGGCCTGTGAGGAACATGTCAGCAAAAATTACTCAGAACACACCTGCTGTCTGAGTAGAATGTACAGAAACAGCTTGAGGTGCAGAGTATTCTGAGGCTATCATAAAAGAAACTAAAAATAAAACCCTGTTAATTCAGCCTGAGGCTCCAGCAGCACATTGTACTCATGAGTGAAATGTGGTAAAGATGGACAGCAGAATAAAACCACATGTGGATTTCAGCCTTCAAGTACTCACTTGTTCTGCTTTCTTTCTGACAGTATCAGGGGACATCTAGTCTTTGGGCAGCAAAAGAAGAAACTGCTTTTCTTGTGGACTCCAGCGTTGAAGCAGCTTTTTAAAGCTCAGACACACCGTTTGCCATTCATGTCATACCTCTTCCTCCTCCTCTCGCTTCTTCCTCGCCTCCTCCTCCTCCCAACTCCTCACCATGTCCCTGATAAGCACTCTGCAGACAGCACCTCTGCTGCAGTCAGGCAGACAGATGAGCCTCCTGTTTCTCTTCGTCTCACACACAAGTATAAATAAAAGCACAAACACACACCTCGGCTTTCATTCATTGTGTCAGCCCCACCGGCGACCAAATTATTCATCCATCCTGCGGACTGTGAAGTCCATTGATCCAGCCCATGTTAACCAGCATTGATTTCTGCTTTGTTAATAACATTAGAAGATCCACTAGTCAGTGTGAAGACAGGTCTCTGGACAGGAAGGCTTATAATGATCACCTTTTGTGTGCTTTTGTGTTCGCCCTGGGGACAAGATGAAACATAATTAGTCTCGGTTACACAAAAGGAAATTTGCCTACTGACGACCATTGGCAGACCTCGGGTCAGAGCAGTTGTTGCACTTGTTGACATTTTCCCAAGCTTGGAGCCAAACTGTTGAGCTAAAGCTAGGCATGTCCTTACCTATGTCACAGGATGAGATCACAGACAATTACAGCATTTATTAAGTGATCGGTATCAGCACCAATCTAAGCCAGAATCTTTGTTTGTATCCTCAGTCACACAGGTCTCATAAAGGGAGAGTACAAATTGTGGCAGGATACTTACACAAGCTCTTGCTGGAGGTCATTAATCGTCACAAAAAGTAATGTTTAGTCATGGTGCCCATTGCTAGCTAAACTCCCACAATGCTCTCTGCTTGGAACTGCCTGTAGTCCAAATGACTGCGTCCTCATGACATGCAAATACACGTACATTTAAGGCTGTTGTAAGAGGAGCACTATGTCTTTCTGACTTCTGTGTAACGGAATAAGCATGAGCAAAGAAATTGCAAACATTTGCAAATTATCAGCAATACCATAGTATCACTTCTGATGTTTATACTGAACGTGTGTGGTATGTCAAATATCCTTGTTTATACCTTGAAACTAGACTGTAGTTAATTCAATTCAATTTTATTTGTATCACGCGCGCGCACACACACACACACACACACACACACACACACACTTGTATTTTTTGTTCTCTCTGTAACATCACGTGTTCCGGGAGACTTTGGGGACATATATCAGGACTTGCAGACTTACAGCTTCATTTCCAAGCAAACCTTTGGTGAGGTAAGTCCACTTTGCAGCTTAGCTAAAATTGCTTTCTATTTTAAGTTTTCTCTTTGGTTGAACTGTGTTGTACTGAAAAAAGGACATAATTGAATTTAACAACATAATTTCAACAAGTAAGATGCTTTTTCTTTGGTTAATTTCAAAGTAGGCAAGGTGCAAATCTTTTGCTGTAATCGGGACGTGCCAAAATATCCACAGATCATATAATCAGGGTAATCAGGGCATGCAGCTTTTTTTTTGTTCTTGCACAACATAACTTTAATTGTTTGTCAACTTTGCTTCACTTGTTGCATAATTATGTTGTGCAAGAAAAAAATGAAGTTGCATGCCCGGATTACCCTGATTATACTATCTACTGATATTTTGTGTTTTTGTGATACAACTTCTCATCCATACTCAGTCAATTATGAAAATTCAACAGTTCTAAAAACAGTATTTTTCATTTATGTGATCAAGTATTTCATATTGTAAAGTACCTATATATTCTGTCGTGTATTACTGTGACATGTAATTATGTATGATTCAGTAAATGTCACTGGTTGACTTCTACATGATCACTGTTTCTCTGAATGTGTGCTCAAAGAAGGACATTTTAATGACAACTTCAATTTATATTTATATCACCCATAATCAGATTATTTGAGCTATTTGTTAAAAAACTGTAGATCCTTAAGCAATGCCACAGTGAGAAGTAAGAGTGGAAAAATTCAAACTTTTACTCTGAACATATCCTGAGCTGAAAGTTGGTCACGAGGCAATTTAAAAAAAAATTTCTATCTGAGAAAATATTTGATGAGTCGATGTAAAAACTCACAAGTATGTGTATAAATATCCATGTTATGCTATAAAAGTTTTTAGGCAAATCAGAGGAAGAATCCTGCTCCGTTCATTTCAGTGAAATTATAGTTTGACTAAATTACAGAAGTTTAGCCGAGGTAAAGGATCAGTTAGAAAATAAAAATGTGTTCTTTTCTGCTGCTTCAGCAAGTAATGAGCCTCAAATAACTGCTGTGTGTGTTTTTGTGTGTGCAGTTCGACATCATGATGAATTTCATCAAGCGTTTCTTTGTGAGACCCAAGTCTCCAGGAGAGTGTCAACAAAGGTGTGAGAGACCTTTATCTCCTGGAGATGGGCACCCTCCCATAAACTGGAAGGAGTGCAATCCAAAGTATGAGAGACCTTTGACGAGTCGTAACGTCATCCTTTCTACGATCTTTGAGTTGCACGGACGAAGGAGTGAGAGACCGTGGTCTGAGTACAACATTTGGCGTCGCGGACGGAAGGGTGAGAAGAAAGATGCCGAGCCCTCAACCATGTGGACTCAGCTGGGACAAACGGATGACAGCCCTTCGTCCAGCAACGATGAACCCTCTGGTTCCTGGCAGGCTCCTAAAATCAGGTAAATCATATGTTTGTCCTTTAATGCCTTGAAATGCCAGTTTTTAAATGCCTTTTACATAAGGCATACCAAGTGGTGAATGTCTAACTGTGAATTCTATTCCTACAAAAAAGGGGTGAGAGTTCTTCTACTGAGAAGAACACTACTGCCTTGTTCATCAGGAGGCAGCTCGGACAAAGGGATGACAACCCTTCGTCCAGCAACTGTGAACTCTCTGGTTCCTGGGAGGCTCCTACAATCAGGTATAAGCCCTATGTTTGTCTTTTAATGTCTTTAAAAATGCCAGTTGTTAAATGCACTTGTATCTAATGAATACCAGGTGATGAATGTCTAACTGTGAATTCTATTCCTAAAAAAAGGAGTGACAACACCTTGAGTGACGAGGCCACTAATGCCTCGTCCACCTGGAGGCAGCTCAGACGCAGGGGTGAGAGCCCTTCGTTTGAGAAAAAAACCAAGACCTCGACTCCCATTTGGCACCTTGTATTGAGAGGTGAGAGCTCTTCATCCAAGACAAATCCCAAGACCTCGACTACCATGGGAAACCTCGGATGGAGAAGTGAGAGCTTTTCATCCAAGAAAAAACCCAAGACCTCGTCCATCTGGAGGCTGCTCGGACGCAGGGGTGTGGGCCCTTCGTCCAGCAACTATGAATCCTCTGGTTCCTGGGAGGCTCCTACAATCAGGTATAAGCCCTATGTTTGTCCTTTAATGTTTTTAAATGCACTTGTATCTAATGAATACCAGGTGATGAATGTCTAACTGTGAATTCTATTCCTAAAAAAAGGAGTGACAGTCCTTTGACTGAAGAGGCCACTAATGCCTCGTCCACCTGGAGGCAGCTCGGACGCAGGGGTGAGAGCCCTTCGTTTGAGAAAAAAGCCAAGACCTCAACTCCCACTTGGCATCTTGGATGGAGAGGTGAGAGCTCTTCATCCAAGACAAATCCCAAGACCTCGACTCCCACTTGGCATCTCGGATGGAGAAGTGAGAGCTCTCCGTCCAGCAATTATGAACCTTCTGGTTCCTGGGAGGCTCCTAAACTCAGGTCAGCTCTATGTTTGTCCTTTAATGCCTTTTAAAATGCCAGTTTTAAAGCCCTTTACATAATGCATACCAGGTGATTAATGTCTAACTGTGAATTCTATTCCTAAAAAAAGGAGTGAGAGTCCTCCAACTGAGGAGGCCACTAATGCCTCATCCATCAGGAGGCAGCTCAGAGAAAGGGATGAGAGCCAAGAAAACGAGGGGAGTAAAAGACAGGAGTTGGAGACCAAAGAGAAAGAAAAGCAAATGAATCTGGAAACAGAAGAAGAGAAGCGGAGCAAGAGAGAGAGAAAACTTTGGGAGAAAGTGCAAAAGAGAAGAGAGAAGTGGGAGAAAGAACAACGAGAAAAGGAGGAGAAACAAAGAGAGAAAAGGATAAAACAAGAGAGGGAAAGACGAGAGAAAGAGGAGAGAAAAATAGAGAAAGGAAGGAGAGATTAAAACAGGAAAAACGGGAGCAGAAGGGGATCTTAGACATTCAGACGCCAACTGGTGAGAAAATCAGTGTGCACATAAAGTTATATACAAGCATGTATTACCACCTGAGTATTGTACTGTTGATAGGTTTGACTTTTTGGGCATTTTGGATGAATGTAGCAAATTAATTCCCTTCGATTTGCATATAATCTCTGCACCTGAAAATGTGGCTTTACTCAGGATTTGTTTTCTGTCGGTGTGCAGCTGGACTCCACGTTTAACCTTTTAATGTATTGTTACTTTCAGATGTCACATGTCCACATGAGTGTTGAGGAGAGTGGTGGAATGACACTAAGTGGGCTCGACCGCCATGTTCGAACAGCCCTTGCTTACAGAGCTAAAGTGCCATGCAGGTCATGGTCAAGACAAGTGCTTCATTAGAAGAAAACTGGACTTTGGTTCTTGAAAACATCCAGAATGTCGCCCCTACTGTCCTGGAAGGAGTGTCTCTTATCATTCAGATGTTGAGTCTTGTCAGGAGGGGCTGGTTTTCCAGTGTTTCTCCATGTGCTTGTTGAGCTGTTATTTAGTAGGTCTGCATACTTACTGCCATATTGGATTGCGTGTATAACATTGGTAAGCCTGTGTCTGGCTGTCTATCCTCAAGGTTTCTGTCTCAGTGTTGCTGGGTCTTAGCTGTGAGGATGTCGTATTTGGAGACAAGTGAGCGGAAACAGTTTTGGGCCTGAGCTTGGGGGGGCTGCAGGCTTGAGCTAGCCAGGCAATCTTGTTTGTCCAAATTCATTCTCCCAGAGGAACAGCACCATGAAACATGTTGATCCTGAGGATTAGACAGCCCAACACAAACTGAGCTTTGTCATATATGCAGTCCAATGTCGTGAGGAGTACTCAGACCAATGTGTAGAAGACACCTAACAGGAGCTTCACTGGTGCAACACTGGAGAACCAGGATGAACTCAGGATTTCACCTGTACCTGAAGGATAAGAGACATTATTGTGAAGACAGATGGTTTGAGTCATTCCTCCCAAGAATCAGAAAAGTGGTCCAGTTCCAGTAAATAGTGAAGGAAACCATCTGCACAGGCAACCAATAACACTTTAACTTAAGTCTGGTTGCCTTATACCCAAGCGCTTCAGGGTAAGGTGGGGGTCCTTACACCCAAGTGCTTTAGGTTGAGGTGGGGGTCCTTATACCGAAGCGCTTTAGGTTGAGGTGGGGGTTGCTACATGGGAGTGGTTGCAACTGTGCTCGACCTCAGTGGGCTCTGTTGGACAGCCTCCTTCTGTTAGCCATTTAGTCCTTCCTTCTCCTCCTCCTCCTCCTCTTCATCTTCCTTCCACCGGTGGACTTTGACTGCAGATGAATTCATCATGGACGGAGCTCGTCTTCACACTGAGGATTCACCAAAAACTGTTCATGGCCTCCATGAACTTTATTGACACCGATGAGTTACGAGTCAATCTCTTCGGTGAAAAGTGTGAAACAACGTATTCATGGTGACAATAAAAATACAACAAAAAAAAGAAAAAAAATGTTATAGCTTTGTTTCAGTGATTCATGATCATGAATCCACCTTTCATTAATCTTTCATCATTTAAAATAAGAAGCTGGTCAAATTGTGTTTTTCCTCCATATTCAAATTGTCAAAACTACATGCTTCAGGTTCAGAAGTTACACAGTTGAACAACAAATTCAAAGAAAAGCAGAGAAACATAATGTTTTGAACTGAATTTGAAATCTTATTCTAGAAATTCAGTTCAAAACATTATGTTTAACATAAAGTTCTCTGCATACAAACGACAAAGTAAAGGTATAAATTAAGAATTAGCAACTCAGTTTGTTCATTCCAGGTTTCTAGCCAGGCAGATAACTGGTATCAGCTGTTCAAAATGTCTTACTTTACTTGTTTTAACTGAAGTTTTGGCGCTTTTATTGCATCCATTAAACAGTACAAAGAATAACAGGCTCTCCTATGTACGTCAGACAGGCAGGACTACACAGCCTGCAGCTCAGGAGACATTCTGCTCTACCCTCATATCTGTTACTAGCAAATATGTACTGAAAACACACAGCACTGAGCTGGAGCTGGAAGTCTCTTTAGGAAAACAACAATAGTCAAGAGTAAGAAATCCTGGTGCTGGTGTTCAGCCAGTTTCTCAACACAACGTCCTAAATAAGTAAGCAACATTAATCAAAGCAGAACGAGCCCCTATGTTCCTGACAAAAAACACAGAAGATATTAAACTACAGCAAGGTGCTACTGATGGATACCTGTTGCCATATTTTGCTGCTTCAATGATTAGAAGGGCGACGTTCTTCATGTAGTTATGGGGAAGCGTCTATATTAAAATAATATCCCAACATTTTTTAGTAGCTACATCCAGTTATCGCTGAGGGTTGCAAGACGCGATCAGAAGGGTAGACAGGTCTTGTTTTTGGTGTTTGATTGGAAAATGCATTATGTTTGACACTCAGACCAATGAAGCAAACGTTGTGTATGAGATGTACGCTCTTTGGTTATATATATATATCAAGTTTAGACTGAAAAAAATACTGGCTGAATAAAAAACATTCACTGAAAATACGCAAACAGAAGGAAAAAAATCGGTAGATTGTCACTGAAAAGCACATTAATACAAGAAAACATAGAAATAAAATGAAATAGTTTTTATAATGTGTTTTATTTTCAGTGGAAGCTTTTTTTTCTTAGTACCAATACAACTGGTTTCAACTTTTTTAAACACTATTTAACACAAAGGGCTTTTTTCATAATGTCTTATTTTATTTTTATAATGTAGATTTATATTTTTTTATATTGCTGCTGCTCTTACCTTTTTCTTTAGTTACTTTTTTTCCTACATATAAAGCTGACTCGAGAAAATGTAAAAAGAGTTCCAGTGTGTCTGGACTGTCATGAATGCATCTGGCAATAAAACTCTATTCTATTCTGTAGACAAATATTTCAATTTCCTTTTTCTCAGTTCAGGTTTTGTCTTTAATGCCAAATTTCGTTTTTGACACCGAACTATACTGTCGCTGCTCTGGCACCAAACATGTACAGTGATAAAATTACATTTGTTGCAATTNCTGATGTTTATACTGAACGTGTGTGGTATGTCAAATATCCTTGTTTATACCTTGAAACTAGACTGTAGTTAATTCAATTCAATTTTATTTGTATCGTGCGCGCACACACACACACACACACACACACACACACACACACACACTTGTATTTTTTGTTCTCTCTGTGACATCACGTGTTCCAGGAGACTTTGGGGACATATATCAGGACTTACAGACTTACAGCTTCATTTCCAAGCAAACCTTTGATGAGATAAGTCCACTCTGCAACTTAGCTAAAATTGCTTTTTATTTGAAGTTTTGTCTTTGGTTGAACTGTGTTGTACTGAAAAAAGGAAATAATTGAATTTAACAACATAATTTCAACAAGTAAGTTGCTTTTTCTTTGGTTAATTTCAAAGTAGGTAAGGTGCAAATCTTTTGCTGTAATCGGGACGTGCAAAAATATCCACAGATCATATAGTCAGGGTAATCAGGGCATGCAGCCCTTTTTTTTTGTTCTTGCACAACATAATTTTAATTGTTTGTCAACTTTGCTTCACTTGTTGCATAATGCGAATTATGTTGTGCAAGAAAAAAATGAAGTTGCATCCACCTGGAGGCAGCTCGGACGCAGGGGTGAGAGCCCTTCGTTCGAGAAAAAAGCCAAGACCTCAACTCCCACTTGGCATCTCGGATGGAGAGGGGAGAGCTCTCCGTCCAGCAATTATGAACCTTCTGGTTCCTGGGAGGCTCCTAAACTCAGGTCAGCTATATGTTTGTCCTTTAATGCCTTTTAAAATGCCAGTTTTAAAGCCCCTTACATAATGCATACCAGGTGATTAATGTCTAACTGTGAATTCTATTCTTAAAAAAAGGAGTGAGAGCCCTTCAACTGAGGAGGCCACTAATGCCTCATCCATCAGGAGGCAGCTCAGAGAAAGGGATGAGAGCCAAGAAAACAAGGGGAGTAAAAGACAGGAGCTGGAGAAAAGCAAATGAATCTGGAAACACAACAAGAGAAGTGGAGCAAGAGAGAGAGAAAAATTTGGGAGAAAGTGCAAAAGAGAAGAGAGAAGTGGGAGAAAAGGGAGAAAGAACAACGAGAAAAGGAGGAGAAACAAAGAGAGAAAAGGATAAAACAAGAGAGGGAACGACGAGAGAAAGAGGAGAGAAAAATAGAGAAAGAAAGGCAAAAGAAAGGAAGGAGAGATTAAAACAGGAAAAACGGGAGCAGAAGGGGATCTTAGACATTTAGACGCCAACTGGTAAGAAAATCAGTGTGCACATAAAGTTATATACAAGCATGTATTACCACCTGAATATTGTACTGTTGATAGGTTTGACTTTTTGGGCATTTTGGATGAATGTA